ACATTTCACTCATTTCCCTCTTTACTCATATTTTCTCAATGTTAGGGTTTTGGGGTTTTCATGAACCAACCCACAAATCCGTTCTATTCTTGACATACCAACTCTAAACCAAGATTTACAAGGGAGAAACAACATAAAACGAACCATAACTCAAAAGAATGAGTTTCCATGGTTTTTCACATTTGGAGAAGAGATCCTTTACACTCCACAATGAGTTTGAAAGAGAGAAAGAGAGTTAGAATCAAGAGATTTACTTCTTCTCAAGCTTCTAAAAGACTCACAAACCTTCTTGCTCTTGAAAATGTTCCCTTCTCTCACTTCTCTCTAGGTCCCCCATAAATGTGTTTGGGGTCCCCTATTTAATGTAACAGCGTCGGGTCCTCGCTTAAGCGAGCCCTTTCTCGCTCAAGCGAGCCCTTTCTCGCTCAAGCGAGCCCTTTCTCGCTCAAGCGAGAAAATCCCGCCTATTTTAAAAACTCAGATATGACCCTCTCGCTCAAGCGAGAATCTCACAGTCTCAACAGTCCCAAAATGTCATTTCTCGCCCAGACGAGACAACTCTCGCTCAGGCGAGAATCCTCCAGTATAGCCCGGGATTTCACCCTCCCAGGTGAGCCTTTCTCGCCCAGGCGAGAATACCTCGCTCAAGCGAGTATCCCAGGACTGATACTATAATTTTAAATACTTAAAGTTAGGGTGTTACACCCCCTCTCTTTTCTCTCCAACTCAATCTTTTCTCTCAAGATTTTATGGTCCTCACTAACTTGCCTAGGGGACAAAGGAGATAACACCATCTTGCGGTTTTAGTGCGTAAAAGAGAACTTGTTGGAACGTCCATCATGGATGATTCCTATATCATACTTCCATGGAAGACCGAAAAGTAAGTGGCTAGCCTCCATGCTTACAACATCACATAAAACATTATTATGATACTTTCCAATAGAAAATTGAACTTCAGCTTGCTTGTTAACAGGCATCTCCCCCACTGCACTTAACCATTACAATCAGTAAGGAGTGGGATGTGACTTTGTCTCAAGGTTAACTTTTGAGATTAATCTCGCACTAACCACATTTGCAGAACTTCCACCATCTATTATTATTAATGAGAAAACCTTACAATCAACTAGGCATCTTGTATGGAAGATGTTCTCCCTTTGGTTGACGTAATGATCCTTGACTTGGCTTCCCAAGAGCCTCCTCACCATGAGCAAATCTCTTTCGAGAATGGCATCATCTTCCGCTTCATGATCATCCTTCTCATCACTTGATGCTTCAGATTCCTACTCCACTTCTCCATTCTTCATGATTATGGTTCTCATTGTAGGACATTGAGAAGTAATATGCCCAAGGGCTAGGCACTTAAAACATTTCACGTCTCGGATCCTTTGTTTTTCCATCACGGGTTGCTTCCCTTGGCTTGTGGTCACGACTTCCTTGGCACTAGGTGTACCAAATTTTGTTGCACCTCCCTCCTTTTTGGACTTGTCCATCTAATTGGAAGATTGGTACTTGGAACTTAAACTTGAGGAGAATTTTGACTTTTTCCTCTTGAGTTGTTGTTCAACTTTCATGCCTTGCTGAACCAAGTCATCCAATTCAACATAATCTTGTAACTAAACAACATCTTGGATATCTTGGTTTAACCCATGCAAAAACCTAGCCATTGTGGCATATTGATCCTTGTGGAAATTTGACCTTAGCAAAGCTAATTCCATTTCCTTGAAATATTCACCAACACTTCTAGACCCTTGAGTGAGTCTTTGAAGTTTGTTATGAGTGTCCCTTTGGTATGAGTTAGGGATAAATCTCATTCTCATGACTAACTTCATGTCTTCCCATGAGTTAATGGTCTTGGCTCCAATTCTCCTTCTCTCCTTTTGGAGTTGATCCCACCAAATCAAGGCATATTCCTTAAACTCCAAGGCAGATTTTGAACCTGTTCTTTCCATGACTCCTCTTAATTGAGACATGTGATCCAATGCGTCGCTTGGAGTAAGAATCACTTTGATTTCATAATACATATTGGGTTGAGTCGGGCAGGTCATATTGAGAAAGTATTTTATTGGTTGGCTCGGTTTTTTCGGGCCACCTTGACCTTCTTCTCATCATGGTAAGAATTGCAATCAAAGTCTTGCTTCATCTTTAACTCCCATTCTTGGTAGGCCTCCATATCATTCTTCATTACAACATACTTTGTATTTAGTAAAGGTTTTTTTTGCAATTAGTGGAGGTTAGTTTTTAACCTCCACAATATAACTAGCGGAGGTTTCAGAAACCTCCACAGTTATGACCTCTAGATGCGTTTAGCGGAGGTTTTAAAGAACCCCTAGTATTGACAAATTTAGTGGTTTATTAGTGGAGGTTTTTAACCTCCGCTATTTGAGGAGGTTTTTGACCTCCACTATTTGACCTCCGCAATTTGAGGAGGTTTTTGACCTCCGCTATTTGAGGAGGTTTTTGACCTCCACTATTTGACCTCCGCAATTTGAGGAGGTTTTTGACCTCCGATATTTGAGGATGTTTTTGACCTCCACTATTTGAGAAGGTTTTTGACCTCCACTGTAGGATTTTAACCTCAAATTAATTTCATAATTTAACAAATTTATTCTCATTAATTTATAATTATTATTTAAATATACAATACTAAATACAAATGCTCTTAACAATATTAAAATTTCATTGCAAATAACTAAAAATAGTCTCAAAAACAAAATACTGAATGTTGCTAAATGTAGAGTAACATAATTGAAAGAGTTATAATTCGTACTTCATTATAAATCCAAATGCACCATAAAATCTCAAAATATTAAAAACAGTCTCATATGACACTTTAAAAAGAAAATACATAACATATATCCTAAATGTTGCTAGCTCTAGATGATCCTCTTGCACCCAAAGGTGTATCAGACATACTTGCATCATCATTTGCCTGAAATAATAAAATAAAATCTAATATCATAAACTATTAAATAACTGAACATTCAATATACACATTAAGAAAATATAATATACAGATAATACATATAACACATGTATCTTCTTATCCTAAGTCATGTCCCAAACATTTAGTCCATCCATATATGTAATGACCATAGCTATAGCGAACATATGTGTCAACATAGGAAGATAGTGAGTGTATAGAAAATAAGATGTCAACTTTAAGATTGTAAATAATATGACAATTTTCCATTAGTTCTGTGATGTTAAAATCTTATTCAATGATACAGGAGTTTAAAAATCAAACTAGAAACAAAAATATCATGATGGAAATCATGAGGAAGAAGAGAAGAGATTGGATAGACACAAAAAATGAGGGAAAAATTATTATGCTTGTATTGAATTATCACCAAGTAGAAAAGTAAATTTAAATACATAGTTCAAAAATAAGTAACTAACTTTAACTAACATCCACAAGGAAGGTAGTTAAAGGAGAAAGAATTGAATGACTTTATTAGGGTATTTCATGGTTTTATGAAGTTTAATTACCAATTAGTTTTTAAATAAATAAGAGTCGTGTACAAATAATAAATAAGAAGTGCACTATGTAGGAATAAACTTTTTAATCTCAAAAGTTCTTTAGCTAGTATGGATTCAACTCATAGTTCATAAGGTTATGAGTTCAAATCCCTAACAATAGTGAATACTTCATTGGTGATAATCTCTAAGTACTTATGTAAGTATTTATAGAGCCTTGAGACCTGCTCTAACCCTAATTATTCTTGAGATCCAACTCACCTAAACTTTAACCTATAAAAAATAAAATGCTACTCTCACGTTTTTTATGGAATGCATTATTTTCCTTATTCTAAATATATATGACAAAATTGGTTGTGAAGATGATAGTTTAATAAGTAATGTGATTTTCATAATTAAATTATGATGATTTTCATAAAAAACATACGGCACAAATAAAACAATTATACTCACCAAAAGTTCTGACGTATCCCATGGCATGTTGGGGTGACTCTATTGTATCCATGCTCAATATATAAATAAATAAAAAGCTATCTATAAATTGACATGATTCAATGCTCAATACCAATGAAGAACACACACACCTTTGTGTAAAGTGGTTCATAAAGCTTATGATATTTAGCTTCCAACTCTACTTGTTGCTCTAAAAACTTACCCTCCAACTAATCATGTTGGCTCTGCAAATTGAAAACCATGTTAGACCTTCTCCCATAAATTGAAAGCACAAAATCAAGTACATTATTTTTTATGAGCAGTTATAAGATACATCCTTAGTTAAGAGTTATTACTTAAGCAAAAGCTCTGTAGACCTCAACATTTCTCTCCATATTCTTCGAGTTTTTCATACGCCACCTAGTATGTGATTTCAAGTAATCAATATTCTCTACAAGATAGGACCAGAATTTGAAAAAGAATCAAGAAAGCTAAGAATTTAGAACTGCTTTTGACTGTTGGCATTGGATCTGATCACATTGGTCTTAAGTGATAGTGCAAATTGAGACAAAAGTACTATAACTCATTTGCATTATACAGAGGGTAGGTCCCTCACACATACTATTTCTATCTACAAAGAAAAGAAATAAAGATATCACCAAGTAATTTTCATCAATAAGAATCATAAATTAGAATTATAAATAAGAATCAATTTACTTAACCAAAATTATTTACTCAAATTTTATCAAACACTTGGTGTGCAGCTATACCTTCAAGTTTGAACCATCTTCTTTTTCAACATATGTTATCATAAAGATCAACTTTCCTTGCTTTGTTCTTTGCCACCATTTGTAATCGGTTTTCACCATGGTTATGGGGAGATTTCTAGAGATAAGAAAAGTGAATAGAAGAAGCAAACAGACATCATCAATCAAATTAACACACTACAAAATTGAGCATTATCCTTGCATCAGTTGAATACAAGAAGCAATAATTCCTAAATACTATCCAGCATATAAAAGTAGCAAATTAAATGCAAAGTAGAATAAGTAGCAAATTCATTCTCTAATCCAGCATATGGATAGAGAATGAAATCATCCTCCCACTTTAGCAAGATTCAGAGATTGAGAGAGATGTGATAATCCACTCATCTAAAGTTCATTATGAAAAAACTTGCAACACATAAAAATAAATTCAAACACATTAATAAATTACAAAGTGCAAAAGAAATGGTTACCAAAGAGAAGAGAAAGGTTGAATCATACCGAATAAACGATGAACCAGCGATGAATCAAATTCAGTTGGAAGCAATGAAGAGGCGATGAAGAAACGATGAAGAAAATGAAGAACCACCGAAAACCTAAAACATATTTAGAAATGAAGATGCTAACTCACGAGCCATAAAGAAAATGAAGAAAATGAAGACATGTTTTCAACCAGAGATGAAGGGAATGAAGAAAGGTTTATAAGTATTATGTTTTTATTTGGAAACGTTCACAAAGGCCTGGGGTTTGAATTTGGAGATGAAAGATATTTAGAAGTGAGTTTATTTTGGGGAGGTTAGTATGTTTTTTTTTGGAATTAAAGTGATAGTTTTTTTCAACCTCCACAAATTAAATAAAAACTTCCACTATATGTATAATTAATTGTCCAGCTTACCTTATATAATTTATTTGTGGAGGTTTGAATAGCCTCCACACAAACACCTCCACAAAATACAACATTTCTTGTAGTGCTTCCCAATAAAGGTAGAAACCTTTATTTTGTTCCCGTCAAGCTTAACCTCCTCACGCCTCCTACCCCCTTTGTGTTTCCCTTCTCAACCTCCTCCTTTTTTCTTCCTCATCATCACTTGAATGGCCACGGGAGTGGTACTCAAGCCTTCTATTGTAACACCCAAATTTTAAGTCTTTAAAATTATAGTATCAGTCCTCGGATCCTCGCTTGAGCGAGAGGTACTCGCTTGAGCGAGAAAGGTTCACATGGGAGGGTGAAATCCTGGGCTATACTTGGCAATTTTGGGTAATGTAATCGATTACACAGTCATGGTAATCGATTACATAATGATTAAAAGCATCAGATATGTACATCTGACACAATGTAATCGATTACACCATGTTGGTAATCGATTACATCATGACGATGCCTCTGTAATTTACAGTGTGTAATCGATTACACACTTCTGGTAATCGATTACATCGTATTAATGTAATCGATTACACCATGTTGGTAATCGATTACAAAGCGACGATGCCTCTGTAATTTACACAGTGTAATCGATTACACTATACTTGTAATCGATTACACTTATCGCAGTGTCTATAAAATAGAAACCCAAAACACATTTTAGGGTTAGAACTTTGAAGAGAAGAGAGAGAAGAGAGCTTTTCAAGAGCAAAGAGTCTTAGGACTCATCTTAGAGCTTGAGAAGAGGTAAACCTCTTGTTCCTAACTCTTTTTATTCCTCTCTAACTTGTTTTGGGTATGTTGGATTTATTTTCAAAACATGAGAAACCATGGAAACTCATCCTTTAGAGTTATGGTTCGTTTCATGTTGTTTTTATCTTGTAAACTCTTGGTTTAGAGTTGGTATTTGATGAATGGAAAGTTTTATGGGTTATTCATGAAAAACCCCCAAAAACCCCCAAAATGAGAATGAGTATAAAGAGAAAGAGATGAAATGTTAGATGTGGATAATAAGTAGTTCTTTGATGTTGTTATATGAGATGGACATGTATGCTTTGATATTTAGAAACTTGTATTGAAGTAGTTTTGGAAATATTGAAATATGAGATGTTATGCATGTTTTAGATGGTTGAATATTGATGATGAATATTTTGTATGATTAAATGATGCAAAATAAGTTGTTTATGTGATATTTGGAATAAATGACTAACATTGTTGTTATTGGTGGAAATGAGGAAAGATCCTAAGGTTGGACGAAATCACGGAGGATACTTTTAAAGTTACTCGGAACCGATCCCCAACACTCACCAAGGTAAGGGATAAGTGGCTCTAATTCATACTCACTGATATGAATGAGGTATGTGAAAGAGGTAAAGGGTTTGTAAGGGAGACGTGTTTCCATAGTTAATGATTTGATAGAAAAGGTAAATGTATTGGCATTATTGTTATGATTATAGAGTAAAATGGTTATCATTTGATATGTGGTATTGTGTATGACTTGCCCTATGTGGTATTGTGTATGACTTGCCCTATGTGGTATTGTGTATGACTTGCCCTATGTGGTATTGTGTATGACTTGCCCTATGTGGTATTGTGTATGACTTGCCCTATGTGGTATTGTGTATGACTTGCCCTATGTGGTATTGTGTATGACTTGCCCTATGTGGTATTGTGTATGACTTGCCCTATGTGGTATTGTGTATGACTTGCCCTATGTGGTATTGTGTATGACTTGCCCTATGTGGTATTGTGTATGACTTGCCCTATGTAGTATTGTGTATGACTTGCCCTACGTGGTATTGTGTACGACTTGCCCTACGTGGTATTGTGTACGACTTGCCCTATGTGGTATTGTGTATGACTTGTCCCAAGTGGTAATGGAAAGGTAAACGTGCAATTGGAATATGAATGATGGGAAATGAGAAGGTTGCAATGAAAGTCATATGCATGCTATAGAATATATAGTATGGGATATATATTCTATAGGGTGAATATGAGTGATAGAAAGGAAGATTGTTAAGTATAAAAGTAACATACATGCTATAGGTCATATAGTATGGGATATATATACTATAGTGTGGATATGGAAAATGATAAGAACGATGTTTCGAATGAACATAATATGCATGCTATAGAATATATATTATGAGATATGTATTCTATAGGATGAATATGGATAACGTGGAAATGAACGAAAGAAGAGATGAATGTTTGCATTTACGTAATTGCGTTTATATTTTATATTAAAGTTTAATCGTATTTGAAATGTGGATTATCATGTGATGTTAGTTTTTAAACTAATGACTTACTCCCTTTTGTTTTGTGTGTTGTTTATGATAATCCCATTGTAGGTAAATGAAGGATTTTGAGGATGAAGCTCAATTAGGAAGCTTTTGTATTTAATTATTCGCTTGTCTTTATTGCTAATTGACGTTGTAGTTGATTTAATAGTATTATGGGATGACTGTAAATCCGTTTAGATTAATACGGATATGTGTAGTTATGGACTTTATAACTTTGGGAGACCCATAACTGGTTGTATGTGGTAAATGTTATTTGAATGAATTATGTTTTTCCGCAACATAAATTTGTATGATAAGGTAATGGGGTAAAGAGTATTTTCGAAAATGGTACTTGAGAGTTTTCAATGAAAGTGACGACTGTATGTAAGAAAGGATTAAAATAAATGAAAAATTTTCAAGGGTAGAAAATTGGGTCCTTACATCTATCATACTTCAATCTCATCTCCTCCATTTGCCTTTGCAAAACTTGGAGTTGTATGTGCATTGTTGTTGTCCTAGGGGACATTGGTAAACTACATCTATGAGACATTTTCACTGACTTGTGTTTCACTCAATTTGTTTGTTTAAGATGTGTATCATTCAATCGCTCACTTATCCATGACTTTCTTAGTTGAACCAAGCAATCAAGACAAAACCAATAGACTTACCAAGACTTTACAAACGTAATTGTAGTGTTGTAACCCAAAATACCCCACAAGAAAATGACTTGACTAACACTTTTGTTTAGACACCTTTTGCTTTTGGATACTTTTTGAGACTTTTGTTCGGACACTTTTTCTTTCTGGACACTTTTGAGACTTTTGCTCAGACACTTTTTGTTTTTGGACACTTTTTTTTTACTAAGAAGAAAGTAAAAATTAACTCGGCCAAGAATGAACTCGAACACCAAGCAAAGAAAATGGCAGCGAAATGACTCTTAAAGATAAAAGAAATGTGGGTAGAGAATGAAATGGTTTAGGCGCCCCAACACTTTCGGTGCTGATAAGCCAAAGGTGTTGTTCGCCACAAGAAAGCTTTGCTTATTTATAAGAATTTAAAACTTGGTTTAGCAAAAAACGTTTTAGGAGAAGACGTAATACTCTCACTTAGGGAATTAATCCTAAAAATATTTCAATCAAAGTTATCTTATTCATCATGAAATTCGGATACATATAGGTGTGGGAAGCCATGCATGGCTTCCAAGTGAATTACAAGGCATTGATGGACTAATCCAACATTGGATTCCTTTGATTAATGAATGTAATCCTAAGTTATGCTAAATTCGGCTAAGGCACATTCAACATATGTATAAATTCCTACTTTATTATAATGAAGAAATAAGTAAATAAGAAAGATAAGATCCCTTGGTGAATTGCATTGTTGTCCACAACTTGTATGTTTGGGAGCTTAGGATTCCATTCTTCATTGATGTCCACGACCAAGATATTAATGGCATTTGATCACATGGTGAACTGTTGAGTTAAGTCACCCTTAGTGCCTCCACAGTTAGGCATGAATGATGAGCATAAGATTATTCTTCTAGAATTGATTCCACGCGGCTTGAGTGGTCTTCATGAAAGCTAGGCATCCTAAGATTCCATTTAGTACTTAAGCTTCTTCAAGGAAATGAGCACAATGGCTATAGACAAGGAGTAACTCGGCCATGATGGCCTATTTATGCTCTAGCGATCTCCAACAAGAATATGAGCCCCCCCCCCCCCCCCCCCCCCCAGGTTTAATTCATCCAAAAACACACGGATGGCTCAAGTAATGTGGCAAGGGGCCAATCAATGTGGTGGCTACAAATTGATGGAAAATTGCCTCACACTTTAATACTTATTCAATGGCCAACTTAAACAAAAAATCTACACTCTAAATACATATGAAGTGGGACAAGGGTTGGCCCACTCATTTATTGAATTAAAATAATCAAACTTCAAATTATTGAAGCACTAAGATTGGCTCGGCCAGGCTTACGCCCATCGGTCAACTTGATGAACCAAGCGCCTAGTCTCATGCGCTATGCGTTGATCTCCTCGGTCAAATGCCTTGGCCAGGCCAACTTGGCCCAGCGTCTGGTCCTGCGCCCAACTCCACGCCTCGATCAGGTGTTGCGCCTAGTGCATCTCAGTCAAATCCTTCGCCAGTGCGCCTCAGTCAGATCTTGCGTCTGATATGCCTCGGTCAGGACCTGTGCTTGGTGCGCCTCGGTCACAGCCTACACCCAGTGCACCTTAGCCTGAAGCACTTGATGTTGAGCCTCGGTCAGATGTGCCTTGTCCCTCCATGGCTCGGTCATTTGGCTGCTCCATGATGCAATAGATTAACTTAGTACTTGCTTGGGCTAACTTTGACTTATCATCTTGATTCATTTTTATGAGAAATCCTAGGACATTTTGCGCCCTTGTCATGGGATCACCTACGCCTTTTAGTCTACTATGGTCTAGCTTGGCCTTGGCTTGGATCACACCATCTACATGCCAATAATACAAGCTTCAAGAGAATTTAAGGCTGAGCCTATAAT